GTACAAACTAGAGTGGGTGGATCGGCTTGCGAGTTTCGATGATTTAGGGAGCCGGACCATAGGTTCAACCATAATGGAGGGGTTCTTAAAGAGAAACCAGACTAAGACAAGTCCCTGAAAGAGGGCAGCAGCTCTTTCAGTACTCAGGGTGGCAGAGATCACGAGGATCGGTATGGCACTCTGATGCACAATACTGCGATGTGGAAGGCAACGGGAAACCACCACATTATGATCCCGAGTACAACGTACAAATTATATATTAAATGATGGCGTCCTCTGGGGTAAAGCACTCCGGACGTAAACTAGTCCCCCATTCGGATGTGCGGGCGGGGACTACTTCGGGTGATGTCATCAATAAGTGCAATAGGGATAGGTGCAATGTTTCACGAGTCGGAGCGTGGAATGTTAGGTCAATGAGGCAGGTAGGGAAATTAGGAAATTTATATAATAGAGATGGATAGATTAGAATTAGATATAGTAGGTATAAGTGAAGTCCGTTGGCCCGAAGCTGGAGACTTCTGGAGTGGGGACTTTAGAGTAATACATACAGGATCTGTAGAAGGTAATTCAGGTGTAGGAATTGTAATGCGTAGGAAAGTAGGGCAGAGTGTAGAAAGTTATTTACAAAAAAGCGATAGGATAGTTTTGGTTAAATTAAACTCAAAGCCGGTAAGAACGGTATTAGTGCAGGTCTACATGCCTACATCATCTTACAGTGATGAAGACGTAGAAGCAGTTTATGTAGATATAGAAGACGTGTTAAGTTTAGTGAAAGGACAGGACAACCTAATAGTTTTAGGAGATTTCAACGCAGTAATAGGTGAAGGTAAAGTGGGTGCAATAGCAGGTTCTTTTGGATTAGGCAATAGAAATGATAGGGGAGATAGGCTGATAGAATTTTGCGATAAACATAACTTAACCGTCGCGAATACTTTATTCAACCATCACGTTAGGAGGCGCTATACGTGGAAGATGCCAGGTGATTTAGGGAGATATCAGTTAGATTACATACTTGTTAGGCAAAGATTTAAAAATCAAGTGAAAGACTGTAGGAGTTATCCAGGAGCAGATATAGATAGCGATCATAATTTAGTAGTTTTGAAGACCAATCTTAAATTCAAAATTCTGAAAAAGAGGGCAGGTAGGAGACGTCTCGACTTGGAAAAGCTAAAATGTAACGAAGCGCGTGATAGGCTAGGTAAAATGACAGACGAAATACTAATGGCGGCTGGAGAAACGAATGACGGGGACATAGAGACAGAATTGAACTGCATTAAAACGTGTCTAAAGTCAGCAGCTACAGAGGTACTAGGTCTTAAACAAAACGAAAGTAAGAAACCCTGCATAACAAATGAGATTGTAGGATTAATAGACGAAAGACGGAAATACAAAAACAGGACAGACAGGAAAAAAGTTTAAAGAATAATACGGCGCCAGGTGTAGATGGGATACAAGGGGAAATTCTAAAACATGCAGGACAAGAGGCTAGAGAGCGTATGTTTAGGTTAGTAAGTCACATTTACGAAACGGGGAAAGTCCCAGAGGATTATAAACGGAACGTAGTAGTAACATTACCTAAGAAGAGGGGCGCGGATAGGTGCGAGAAATTTCGAACAATTAGCTTAACTTCCCATGCGTCAAAAATCTTAACTAGAATTGTACAGAGGAGGATGGAAAAAAGGGCGGAAGAACTATTAGGGGAAGATCAATTTGGGTTTAGAAGAAATAGAGGAACGCGGGAGGCCATTCTAGCTTTACGGGTAGC